CATGGAGCAACGTTTTCGTTGATCTGCGCACAAATGGAGTTAAAAATACAACGCGGCAAAAGCGTGCGAACGAAAAAGCCAAGGGGATCATCTAACCTCCGATTAGAAGCGATCAAGCGCAGTAGCGTTTATAATGGAAAGGAAGAGGTTAGCTCGCCACAATGATGGAAGGGCGAGCGCTGAGAGCGCTGAGAGCGTATGAAACGAGCGAGAGCGCGGAATCCAGTCTAGGGATTTTACGTCTTCCTAGCTTTTATGAGATCGTTATTACGAGATTGTACCAATAACTATTACAAAATGCACGTACGCTGTCGAATCCGTATGTACGTGCGCGTTAGGATAAGGATAGAAAAATACGCTTGCGAGCATAATTAGAAATGGGTGGCGCTGCTTTGGAAACCATAGTCGTTGGAATGATTAACGATGGTTTACGAGAGGTAAAACGCATTTCTTGTACAGCTAACAATCTATCACATTCTGAGATTATCACAATTATTACATTTAGGAGAAATATTCTTCATTGTATTTGTAATTTAAATTACGAGCTACATTGCATTGATTGAAAATAATATCTCGCACTTATGACGACGACTTTCCTTATAAACTTTCAACGACCCAAGATTCTCTTCGTAAAACGAGCAGAGAAAATTTATACAACGCACTTATGTATACTTCCTTTACCAGACTATTTTAACAAGTACTGTTTCTCTCATTGCATCGTTGAATTATATTATGGTGTGCCAATAAACCGCACACGTAGCTCGTAATTTTTCATGGAAATACGTTGATTCAGGTGTTTTCTCGTGATCGGTATCGATATTCAAACTCGCCGATATCAATTTCACGTACGGAGTATCACTTATGGTCATCTTTACTGCAATGCAATCCATACCCCTAACATATGAATTTATCAAAGTAGCTTGAAAAATTACATCTTATTCTGATTTATGCTTGAAAATAAAAAGGTAATTATTATTTCGAAATCGATAGTTGTATGCGGGATAAAGAACACGATGATAATCAAGAAATTGGCGTTGAATCGACAAAAACTTTCCCCTTGAGCATGCTTATGATCAATTAATATTCTAAAAAATAACGTTACATAAAAAGAGTGTAAGATCGTTGAAAGTAAATGTATTCAATCTTGACATAAGCCATAAATTTACGTATGTGCGTGTAAAAGCGCGAACGCGTGTACGTACATTTTTTATTCTTGTATCCGTATTCTTCGGTGCCTCGACGTAATGTTTTGTTACGTAAATGCAATCAGAACAATTTCAGCTCATTTGAAATTCATAGAACAAATTGCGTGCCTCGTTGCATCTCCCCCCCCCCCCCCCCCCCCCCCCCCCCCCCCCCCCCC